GACCAGACAGCTTCACTAGTAAATTCTACCAAACATTCAAGGAAGAATTAATACCAATCCTTCTCAAACTATTACAGAAATAGAAGAGGAAGAAACACTTCCAAACTCATTTTACATGGCCACCATTACCCTGATACCAAAACCAGACAAGGACACCACATGAAAAGAAAATTACAGGAAAATATCCCTCATGAACATGGATGCAAAAATCCCCAACAAAATATTCGCAATCCAAATTCAACAATACGTTAAAAGGATCATACACCACGATTAAGCAGAATTTACTTCAGGGATGCAAGGATGGTTCAACATCCACAAATCAATCAATGTGATATACCACATTAACAAAATGAAGGATAAAAATCATACGACCATCTCAATAGATGCAGAAAAAGCCTCTGAAAAAATTGAACATCCATTTATGATAAAAACTCTCAACAAAGCAAGTATAGAGGGAACATCTCTCAACATAATAAAGGCCATAAATGACAAGCCCACAGCTAACATCATACTCAGTGGTGAAAAGCCAAAAGCTTTTCCTCTAAGATCAGGAACAACAGGATGCCCATTCTCACCACTTTTATTCAACATAGTATTAGAAATCCTACTCAAACAAGTAGGCAAGAAAAAGAACTAAAAGCCACCAAAATTGGAAAGGAAGAAGTCAAACTGTCACTATTTGCCTATGACATCACATTATTTATATATAGAAAACCCTAAAGATGCCATCAAAAACTGCTAGAACTAATAAACAAATACAGTAATGTTCCAAGATACAAAAATTAACACCAAAATCTGTATTTCTATACACTAATAACAAACTAGTGGAAAAAAAAAAAGAAGAAACAATTCCATTTACAATTGCACCAAAAAGAATAAAATACCTAGAAAGAAATTTAACCAAGGAGGTGAAAGACCTGTATACTGAAAAATACAGGACATTAAAGAGAGAAACTGAAGACAATACAAATAAATGGAAAGATATTCCATGCTCATGGATTGGAAGAGTTCATTTTGTTAGAATCTCCAAACTATCCAAAGCAATCTACAGATTCAATGCAATTCCAAACAAAATTCCAAGAGTATTTTTCAGAGAAATAGAACAAACAATCGTAAAATTTGTATGGAACCACAGAAGACCCCAAATAGCTAAAGCAATCTTGAGAAAGAAGAATAAAGCTGGACACATCACACTCCCTGATTTCAAGCTCTATTACAAAGCTATAGTAACTACAACAGTATGGTATTGGCATAAAAACAGACACAGACATCAACGGAACAGAAGAGACAACCCAGATATAAACCCACACATATATGGTCAACTACTTTACGACAAAGAAGCCAAGAATACGCAACGGGAAAAGGGCAGTCTTTTCAATAAATGGTGCTGGGAAAACTGGACAACCACATGCAAAATAATGAAATTGGACCACTATCTTACTCCATAGACAAAAATCAACTTAAAATGGATTAAAGACTTGAACATAAGACCTGAAACCATAAAACCCCTAGAAGAAAACATAGGCAGTAAGCTACTTGACATAGGTCTTTGTGACGTTTTTTGAATTTGACACCAAAAGTAAAAGCATCAAAAGCAAAAATAAACAAATGGGACTACATCAAACTAAAAAGTTTCTGCACAGCAAAGGAAACCATCAACAAAATGAAAAGGCAACCTACTAAATGGGAGAAAATATCTGCAAATCACAAATCTGATAAGGGGCTAATATCCAAAATATAAAAGAACTCATATAGCTCAGTAGCAAAAAAAACACAATCCGATTATAATACGGACAGAGGACCTGAAGAGACATTTCTCCAAAGAAGACATAGATAGCCAACAGGTACATGAAAAGATGCTCAATATCATCAATCATCAGGGAAATGCAAATCAAAACCACAATAAGATATCACCTCACAACCATTAGAATGGCCATTACCAAAAAGAGAAGAAATAACAAGTGTTGGCAAGGATACGGAGAAAAGGGAACCCTGTGTATTGTTGGTGGGAATGTAAATTGGTGCAGACTATGGAAAACAGTATGGAGTTTCCTCAAAAAATTAAAAATAGAACTAGCATATAATCCAGCAATTTCACTTCTGGGTATTTATCTGAAAACAAAAACAGTAACTCTAAAAGATACATACACACCTATGTTCACTGCAGCACTATTTACAATAGCCAAGATATGGAAACAACCTAAGTGTCCACCAAGAGACGAATGGATAAAGAAATTGTAATTTTATATATATGGAATACTATTCAGCCATAAAAAAGAATGAAATCTTGCCATTTGTGACAACATGGATGGAACTTGAGGGCATTATGCTAAGTGAAATAAGTCAGACAGAAAGAGAAATACTGTATGATCTCTCTTATATCTGGAATGTAAGAAAAAAATAAGCTCATAGATACAGAGAACAGACTGGTGGTTGCCAGAGATGGGGGTTTAGGGGTGGGAGAAATGAGTGTGAAGGGGGTCAAAAGGTAAAAAACTTTTAAAGAAATAGGCAAAAGGGGCTGGCCTGTGGCTGGGTGTTTAAATTCGCGCACTCCAACACTCCACACTTTGGCAGCCAGGGGTTCACTGGTTCAGATCCTGGGCGCAGACCTACACACTGCTCATCAAGCCAGGCTGTGGCAGCATCTCACACAGAAGAACTAGAAGGACTTACAAATAGGATATACAATTATGTGCTGGGGCTTTGGGGAAAAATCAAAACAAGAGGAAGACTGGCAACAGATGTGACAGTGCCAAACTTCCTCCCCAAAAAGTATCTAAAAAAAAAAACTAAAGTGGGCAAAGAATTTGAATAGAGGAAAAAAAATAGGTAAAGGAAGAGAAGATGCTGATAAATTATAACTTGCTTTTCAAATAGGTCTTCTTTTTTGTGCTTTTCCTGCTTCAATTGAATCTCTGATGATACATTCTGTTATGTTACCAAATACTAACATCAGTTCAAACAGAAATCTCCTTTAATAATCATCTAAAAAAAAATGTCCAGTACTCATCTAGAATAGTTAAGTCAAAATTTCTGGCAATAAGGCCTATTTATCAGGGTTTTAAAATTCTCCCCAGGTGATTCTAACATGCAGCTAGATGTGCACCACTGCTATGCTACAGTGATTCTCAACCGTACTGCATGTTAGAATCACCTGGGGTGATTTAACCATCCCAACCCAGGCCCCACCCCAGCCAGACCAACAAAAACGAATTCAGGTGGTAGGACCGAGGTAGCAGTGTTTAAAGCTCCCTAGACCGTCCAACCTCATCTGGCTCCTAAATCCTTTATTTACAAGAAACCATGCAATGAGAAACTCAAGCTCTAGGCACTATTTTTGATTCCAGTTAACCTAGAATATAACTGGGAGCAGTTGTTTATTTAAGTGTTAAACCCCTGACAATTTTTTCAATTGTGAATGGCATCTAAGATTATTTTATAATTCTGTGGATTGTTTAAGCAATTCTAAAGTTTCCTTTCGTTTGAAAAAACAAATGGTATATTGCACAGTTGTCATTTTAATGATTGCATACAACACTCCCATTAACTTTATAAAGTATATCCTTGTGTAACTTCAGGTGCTAAAATGAAAAATATTCAGTTATCACTAGCTTCTTACAACCCTCTCCTTAAAAAAACCCCACAATGCAAAGCTTCCGTGTTAGCTGTTGGAAGCAACAAAGAGAACGGATTTGGGGATGATGATTGTCCAGAGAAGGCAAGGCAAGAGGAAGCAAAAAAGAGAACACAAATTGCCCCAGGGATTTTCCCAACAAAAAGTACATAATTCCACGTATTCTGTAAAGTAACTTCAGCAATTACACAGAATGGACAAAAGCTACTAGTTGTCAAACTCTTGTGCTTACTAAATATTTCTTCAAGGTATAACTTGTTTAGCCAGCCACCCTACGCACTACCTCATCTGCACAAGTTAACCCGTTACTAAACATTATTCAGGAAACAGTATCAGTTTCCTTAAATTATATGCCAGTGCAAGCTTGTGAACATATATTTTAAGCATCTAGCACAACGTCAAATTTAAAAAAAAAAGGCTGGCATAGATACTGAAGAAGAATCTGTATGATTAAATATTAGGTTTTATTAGATGATGATAAACATAAATCTGATTTTCTATTTATTCACACCAGAAATAATCTGTGGATTTATAAAATTTCTTTTGGCTAAATACGGAGAAAGCAAACGGCATCTGCACTTAGCTTCCAGTTCAGACACTCCTCGTCACTGCTGGTATGACTTTGTTCAAGAACCTAACAGATCTGATCTTCAGTATCTTCATCTTACGTTGGGAACAATAACAATAATAATAATAATACCTAACCGGCAGATTGTAACAAATCAAATGAGTTAACGTACGTGAAAGTACTTAATAAACTAGACAAGGCAAAACAAATTACTCATTATATCACAGCAATTGATAACCACCTGATAAAATCTGTTAGTAGTAAACCATTTGAACCTTACTCAAAGTTACAAATAGAATACTTACACGCATACCAAAAGCATGCATTATTTAGGGATTAATATTCTGAGATGGAAAGGAATAATTAGAAGAAGCTTTATAGTAAAGCACCCTTGGGCAAAGGAGGATAGAAAAAGTAGTTAAAAACCAGCTGAGAAAAAGAAAAGTGTTCACAAACTTTTTTCAAACTGTAAACAAAGGTAGATCAGAAAATATTTAAACAGATGACAAAAAATTATGTTAACAGAAGTGAAAAAAAAATCTTTAATTAGTGATTACCAGAGGGGAAGGGGGTGTGAGGAGGGCAAAAGGGGTAAAGGGGCACATATGTAGGGTGACAGATGGAAACTAGACTATTGGTGGTGAACACAATGTATTCTATACAGAAACTGACATACAATAATGTACACCTGAAATTTACACAGTGTTACAAGCCAATATGAAGTCCTTAGATTTCAAATAATTCACTGAAGTATGTTCCAATGTCACTAAACAGTGTACTTTCACAAATACTTACCTGTAAAAATATGTAGCTGGGCAGGACCTTGTCAAATGAAGGGCTGAGATATACTGGTTCTGTCATTCTTATGCCTACACCTCTGAAAAGCAGGAAATCTAACATTAGTCAGTATAAATTACATCATCCACACAAACCACATTTCTAGGAACATACCCAAGTAACAGGTCAAATATAAGATGCTCTGCCTTTTTAAAACCTTTTTTACTATACACCAAAATACGCAGAATGTTCCTGTGAATTGCTTCTGAATTTTTACCTGCCGTAGGAGGCCAACAGGAGAACTAAAAAGAATAAAGTTACATAAATTTTTCATTTAGGCACAAATGAGTTTGTTAAAAGATTTGAACAAACTTAACAAGCAAAGGACATCTGAGTCTTTATTGATTCATCCTCGTCTTTCTGGTAATAGATTTATGATCATCGTTACTAGCCTTTCAATTCAACAAACAATCCAGTCTGCAAGGCACTAAGCTAGGTACTTACGGGAAAAATAAAAATATACTTAAGAATCATGCTGATGCTAAGCAATGACAAACATGCCACACTGCTCTCCTCTCATCTTTTTAGAGAATAATCGCCCAGTACCGACAGAATCCTCAAGATGACCTTTTCCACCTTTGTCCCTTTTTATGAGTGGCAGTGGAACTGATCGGAGCAGCAAGGGCCAGGACCCAGGTGGACAGTGATTCACAAAAATAAACACTGAAATCTGAGAGAGGCTGTCAAAGGGGAGAGAAAGCACTCAAATACTGTAAGAGACAGCCTGGTGTATCAGGCCACACCAGAGGGAGCAGGAAAAAAGGAGAAATCAACAGTGTTCTGGAGATTAGAGGAACACAGAGAAAACAGCAGTCTAATCATAAAGGCAAGGATAAGAATCAGGATTTAAACCAGCTGGAAGGGTACAAGCAAAGAAGAGAGGCTGAGGAGGAAGAACAAGGAGTCCTCAGATACAGTACGCTAGACAAGTTCATAGCTTATGAACCGATCTTGGCAGAGAAGCATCTACACAGACGGTTTGTACCCTGTTTGAGGTAGGCAGGCGGGCTAATGTTACTCACAACACTCTGACACCGAATGTCTGGGGTTTTTCCTCACATCAACCAATTCTCCAACTCTCCAGACACCAACTGAATGTCCACCAATTCAATTCTGACACTACCCAGAGTTCTCCTTAGACGACACAGGTTCAAGGGCTCAGTGTAACAGTGGACTGGCTCCACTCCAGATGCCAGCTGCTCATCCCCGGTTGCCACCTGTACTTCTGACCGACTGGCTATAAATTTGGGGATTCTGATAACTCCCTCTTCAGGTTTGATAATTTGCTAGAACAACTTACAGAACTCAGGAAAACACTTTACATACTGTTACCAGTTTATTATGAAGGATGACTCAGGAGCAGCCAAATGGAATAGAGGCACAGGACAAGGAATGGGAGAAGGGCACCGAGCTTGCACGCCCTCCTCCAGTGCACCACACTCCCAGCACCCAGATGTGTTCACGAACCCACAAGCTCTCCAACATTGTCTAGGGGTTTTTAATGGAGGTTTCATTACACAGGCATGATTGATTAAATCTTGGTCATTGGTGATAAACTCAAAGTCCAACCCCTCTCCTCTCCCCAGAAGTCTGGGGATGGGGCTGAAAGTTCCAAACCTCTAATCACGAGGTTGGTTCCTCTGGCAACCAGACCCCAACCAGAAGCTATCTAGGGGCCCCCAGTCATCTCAGTAGCATACAAAAGACACACCACTCCGGGGATTCCAAGCTCAAAGTTTTAGGAACTGAGTGCCAGGAACCCAGGACAAAGATCAAATTCTTTCTTTCTTATTATGCCACAGCAGGGTAAGCTTATGCTGCCTTGTAGAGTGAAGTAATTTCTATAGCATCTGTGGCCTGCCACTGCAACGGGTACGACTGTGAACTTCCCTCAGCTCTAACATCCTTCAGCATACGATAAATGTTCACTCCTTTTCTTCTTCCCATCCCTTTCAGCCTCACTCATTTGTTAACCATGTGATATCTCTGAATCTACACTTTCGATCAGAGTTAAGACTGGCTCCTTTGTCCAGGCAGGATCAAATCAAACCACTTCCTAGGCAAAGAGTTCCTGCCCCTGAGCAGGAAATACACAAAGAAAACTTCTGAAACGTCACTGCCTCACATTCAAAAGTCAGTCATTTGTTCAGACAACTGGTGTTCTTACCTTGATCAACACCTCACCCCCCATCCAGAGTCTAGAGCCATCACTGAACGCCTTGAATTCCACGACCTGATCACTCTGTCATAATTTAAATGACTTTCTGATTTCTGGAATCCTGACTTGGAGGATTCTAGTTCTCTGAAAAATACTGAAACTAACATTTATATACCTGCCTCCTAAGCCAGTTCCCACCTAGTGCTGCAAGTTCTGGTGCCCCTCTGACTATCTCCTTCCCACCATGCCCACCAGCACAAGTGTGTCCATCTGGACAGTATTTAACTTAAAACAATGTGACAAAGAATAATTTAAGCCAATTATTGTTCAGGTATGCTACTGTAACCATGGCCCCACTGGGACCAATTAAAACTGATCCTCTCTTATCAACAGAGTAATAAGAGTTGTTTTTCAGGAACTGACAGTTGGTCCCTTGTCTAGTTCAGGCCGGTTGAGACTGCTGTGGGGTATCAGAATTGGCCACTCCAAAATGTGTCTCTTTGGCTTGATTATTTTTAAGAACAAAAGACTCTGAAAGAAACTTTGACCTTTCCCCTAACCGCCTAAAAGAATTTCAGATAGAAGGCCTGTTGTCCAGGAAGGAACTAATACCTTAAGATAACTACAGTATAATATAAACTAGGTGTGATAGGGAGGAACCTAACATTAACAAGGGCTTTATAATCAAAGTCCGCTCCATGTCTCATCTCTTTGCAAGGCATGGTCAACATTTGTTTATCAAACATTTGCGTTTCTAGCTTCATGTAAATTGCCTTCCTCCCCTTTGAAGTCTCAAACCACTGCCCCCAACATCCTCCTTTGTCCTTAGCTGAAGATGGTATTTAAGGTAGTGGCTTCTGCCATTTTGGCGAGTTACTCAGATTTCCTGCGTTTCTCCCATGTACAGGTTATGAAACTTTGTTTGATTTCCTCCTGTTATTCTGTCTCACGTCAGTTTAATTCTTACACCAGCCAGAGGGACCCAGAGGGGAGAGGAATAGCTCTTCCTCTCCTACCCCAGCCCCCATCAACTGGGCCTGGGCAGATGACCCATCGGTGACTCTTCTGACATCAGAGGGCAGAAAACTCCACCCTCGGATCATGCTAATGCCACCATTTTGTGAACGTGCGTCCTGCGAAGAGCCATGGAGCTTGAATGCACTTGTGCAGAGCATCAACTGCTCACTGCTCCTTAGCTCCAATCATCTAGCTCCACACTTCAGACCAGTCTGCCCTTCACCCCATAAATTCTGCCCCAGGCTCTGGATCAGGGAGACAGAGTTAAGAATGTCACCTCCTGTTTCCTTGCTGGTCGACCTCACAATAAAGCCTTTTCTTTTCTCAAAAGTTGATGCCGTAATAATCAGGTTTTTTTATACACACTGGCAGAGAACCCCCTCTTTGTGGGGTAACAGTATTACATGTTTCTTTTAAAACTATTTTTGTAATATAAATAGCCATATAATAATACAAAGTACAAAATCTCACAGGATAAACACCGTTAGTAACTTAATCTACCTCTATGAGTCCATGCATGATTCAACTCAGCTGGAATTCACGACACCAAAGGGTGCAAATTTACTACCTGAATAACATACCATCAGAAAAGTCTGCTCTAAAATTTTAAAAGAATATAAATAAGAAACAAGGTGTACATGTAGCATTCCTTTGCTATGTAAGCGTGCTTTTTCTCACACAGGCAGAGAAAGAAATCATAAAAGCATAACTGAATGTTGAGTTTAAAAACTGAGTTCAAAAATCAGCAGTTTTCTGAAAGATAGCTGCCTCTTACTCCCACCAACCAGGAAAACATTACTCAGAAAAGTCTGTTGGCACAGTTACTGGAACTACCACATCAAATAAGATAAGAGGATGAAGAGTGTACCATGAATAACGAACTAAAGGAGGCAGTCAAAATATCAATTCCCGATGCCGGCCCATGGCTGAGTGGTTAAGTTCACACACTCCACTTCAGTGGCCCGGGGTTTGCCAGTTTGAACCCTACAAACCACTCATCAAGCCATGTTGTGGCGGCATCCCACATAGAAGAACTAGAACGACTTACAACTAGGATATACAAGTATGTACTGGGGCTTTGGGAATAAAATAAAAGAAAAAGAAGATTGGCAACAGATGTTAGCTCAGGGCCAATCTTCCTCATAAAAAAAAAAATCAATTCCCTATCACAGACCCAAAGATAAACACAGCAGAAATATGCTTTATCTTCATATTCAGAAAGGCTTCTAAGGAGAATAACATCTTTGTTCTTGGCCATTTGGAAAGTACTGCTATCCAGAACTAGGGAATCCAATAATCTGATTCTTCAGGAGAATTAATATGAACCATAAACCCAAATTATCATTTTTCAACACGAATACTGTTCCAGGAACCAGGGATGCAGTACAGTTCCAGATGGAGAAATTCACAGCTTTCAGCATGTCTATATCAGTTTTCAACTTTGGAGTAATGGTGCTGTCTACAGAACTCAAACAGGCTGAAAATACTAAGCAAAATAAGAAACTGGATTATCCATGGATTTAATTTATTTAGAGCCAGTAGCAACCAGAGATGATTTAAAACTAACTATAGTTTAATTTAGTTTTAGTAAATCCAAACATTAACTTTTGACCACAAGTATTCAAACCCAGAGAATGCTGGCTTTCTGATAAATTTATTTTTAATTAAAAAATTGCTTTCTTTTTAATTTATATTAAAATCATAAGCATTTCCCTTCAAAAAATCAGAATATTAAAAAAAGATATGGATAGGTTCACCTAATCCATCCTTTATCAAGGTAACTATTGCTCTCCAAAGATGCAAAAATTTTGAAATTAATAAAATTCAAAATAAAATTATTTGACAGTTACAGTGTGACTAGTTGCTTACTTAGGCTCTTTAATCTGAGCATTTACTCTTCTACCTAAAAGCATTTTTCCCAAAAAACAGAAATATGGGTTATTTTCCAGTTGAATGTATACCAAAAAAATCATTCACATAACGCAACTAGATATATTTTGTACATTGTTTTTAATTTTCCTTGAACCAAAAAAAGATGCTTATTTCCCCCAAACAACACTTGATGACGTACTTCAGTTCATGTAGCCCGCTGAAGATTTCTCTGCGGCTTAATTCAGAAATTCCATTTCCAAGAAATACTTTTGTTCCATCAAATTCCTTGGCTCCTCTTTTACATTTGCCTTTAATATCAGAGTATACAGAAATAACATCTCCAGCTTTCATAACTAGAGAAAAAAGAAAATCATATTATACTCATCTATACTCTGATAGAACAGTAAGAGCTCTAGGAACATCAACAGTGGGCATGAAGCAGTCTAAACTGTCTCATTATCTCAATATAATCTCTAATAGAAAATATGACTTTTTACTTTCAAATTTTCCTAGGAAAATAAAGAAACAGAGAAGTCTTCAAAACATCCTACCTCAAGTGGAAATCTTTGGCTGAGCAAAACAGGAAGGATCTCTTTTATTTAAATTATTTTCCTCAAACCTAACATTTCCTAAAAGACTTCATATAAATCTTGATATCAGGGCCAGCCCTGTGGGGTAGCAGTTAAGTTCAGTGCACTCCACTTAGGTGGCCCAGGTTCATGGCTTTGGATCCCGGGTGCAGACCTACACCACTTGTCAGCCATGCTGAGGTGGCGACCCACATATAAAGCAGAGGAAGATTGGCACAGATGTTAGCTCAGGGCAAATCTTCCTCAAGCAAAAAAAAAGGAAGATTGGCAACAGGTGTTACCTCAGGGCGAACCTTCCTCAGCAAAAAAAATTAAATCAATCAATCTTGATATCTTTGGCTCAATCCTCAAAGGTCTATGTTTCCTTCAAAAGGATTCCTCAAAAACATACACTAAAATTCCCCAAAGAAATCATCCTAAATCCTATATCCCTGTTGCTATTTCCTCAGTTTTCCTGTTACAGCCTAAAGACAGAGATTTTAATGACAGCACATACATTCAATCATATATGTATGTGCATGTGTGTATATGTATACATATATGTATATGTGTGCACATACTTAGAACACCATGAAACTGTACAGTGTACAGAGCCCATTTATATATGAAGGCTGATTAAATCTAGCTGCCATTAAATTACTTTGAGTAACAAATCCCAGTGACATTAATAACAGGAAATTGGATTCCACTTGCAAAAAATGTTTTAAGACCTAACCCTGTTATAAATTCATCGAGCCCATTAACCTGACAACAGTAGTGAACAGCAATCGGCTAGAGCTACAAGGACTGTGCAAATTACAGAGCTGAGGGGTCAGCGAATTCTTCTGCAAAGGGGAAGTAAATATTTTAGGGTTTGTGAGCCACATAAGGTCTATTGGCATATTCTTCTTTGTATTTTTTTCTTAACAACCTTTTAAAAATGGAAAAACCATTCTTACCTTGTGGGCCATACAAAAACAGATGTGGGCCAGACTTGGTCAGCAGGCAATAGTTTGCAAAACTCTGGTCAAATTATTTATTTCACAGACAAGATAATTGAGGCCCAGAGATTGAATAACTTCCCAAGAGATCAAACCTTATGTTTCTTGATTTCAGGTCCAATAAATTATCACTGAACCAGTGACTAGCTTACTAAGCAAATGTAGTATGTCATCAATTGAGTGAGTAAATTAAGAATATTGAGTTTCATGCCAATATTAAGATTCCAGGTTCTGAATGTTCCCCTCACAAATGACGACAGCAGCCTGAGGTTTTAGGGCAATAGAGTTAAGAATACAAAACGAAATTTCACTGACATCTTACACTTTATTAATCAATAATGACTCTCTAAATAAACATTACACGCATCCTTACATGGGAGGAAAAATATTGGCAGACAACTTTCTATGGATGCCTGATTTGTTAGTCCACAGAGATAAATCCCTCACTGGCTATACTAAATGCAAAACTTGGAAAATGTTTGATAAAAGCAAATTTGAAATACATCTGAGTGATAATTTAATAACCTTTATATGTGAAAATGCATATAAATTTTAGAGAATCTTTATTTTACAGAGAAACCTGAACATCATACTTACATTTTGAAGCTGACACAATTCCCGGAACATAGACATGGGCTCCTCTCAACACTGCACTGCCACATTGGGCTCCAACGATGGCTTCACACTGTTGTTTTCTTATATTCTTCCTAGGGACGTAAAACGAGAAATGTAACACAGCAATATACTTCCAACACCTAACTATGTTTTCAACGTTTCAGTGTAAACCCTAAATAACCTCTTTAGTCTTGACTGTCCCAAGATAATGCCATTAATGAATACATGAGAAAGAAAAAGCTGATAAAAAAGGATACAGAGAAAATAGTTTTAAAAAAACAAAAAACAAATAAACAATGAGATAGGCACTTAAGAAAAGAAAAAATAAAGAGGTCTACCTGATGGAAGACAATAAAGCGGCACCAAAAATTGCTTAATCCTTTAACAAGTACTGCTGTTTTCAAAACAGCATTAGAAAAGAAGAGAAATAAAGTCCCTACCTTCACAGACAATAGACAAGGAATTCAAAACATTTCTAAAGTGGTAGATTGTTGCATGGTATATTATTAATATTTTAAACTAGGCAGACAAAGATAAGGCCTTTTTTCTTCCTTTGCTGCCCAACATTTTGAATGTTTTCCAATTTCTCACCTTCAATTCATTCCTTCGATCACTAAAATCTGAATATCATTTCTAACATTTAGACTTTTTCAAAGGTTGGGGAGCCAACGTGATCAGCCCCAAATAAAAATCTTGAGCATTGAGTCTCTAATGAGCTTCCCCAGTTGGCAACATTTCACATGTGTTTTCACAACTCCTTAGTGGGGAATTAAGTGGGTCCCATCTTCTTTCCATGATTTGTAGATTATCAAATCTCACTAAACTTAGTTTTATCTACTCCTTCCGGGTTCCATACATTCTCATTGCTCATTCTCTACCTACTCCCTAAAGAGGTTTATTCTCCCAAGCTCCAAAACATGCCACTGTCTCTTCTCACTTTGCACCCTATCTCTTGGCAATCTCATTATTACAATAATCACTTACAAAAATAATCATGTCTTATAACAGTTAGCTTTTCTAGACTCCGAATTGCTATTTCTAATTAACTGCAGGTAGCTATATCTAGGTGTCCCACAGTTAATTCAACTCAACAAGCCCTAAACAGTGTTATTTTTCTCTGATCCACTCCTCAAATCCTCGGCAAACACCCCAAATCTTTTCATCCTCCTATGTCTCCAGTCTTCAACAAAGTCATTATCTGCCTAGATAACCAAACTAGAAACCTCAGCATCACCTTACATCCCTTCTTCCTAAACCTTTTAACTCGACATTCACCGAGTTACAAAAGCATGCCACCCCTAGTTCTCCAACAGGTCTTCTGGGCCCATCCCCTGACATCAGACACACTTCATCTCTTAGCTTAATCACTGAATAGCTTCCTGCCTTTTCCTTTGATTGTTTTCAGATCTTCTTTGTGTCTTTGGTGTTCTGCACTTTCATTCTGAAGTGTCTATACATAGATTTATTTTTACTTTTGGCTTCAGACTCATTATACTTCTTAAATCTGTCTTTCATCAATTCTGGAAAGTTCTTAGTCATTACATTTTGAATCTTGTCTTTTGTCCATTATTTCTATTCTCTTCATCTAGGACTCATTAGAAATATGAAGTGTCTTTTTACTCTGTTTTCCATGACTCAACTTCACATTTTCAATGTCTTCATCTATCTCTGCTGCATTCTAGATCATTTCCTGAGTCATCTACTTCAATAATTCTCCATGAATTGGGTCTAATTTACCGTTTCACTCATTGAATGAGTTTTTCATTTTAATGATGATATTTTTGTTTCTAGAAATTCTAGAAAGTCTTTTATGTTTTAGATTCCTATTTTTGCTTTAAGCCATTTTAAGAAAACTGATTTCATAGTCTCTACCAGATAGCTATATTTGCTAAACTTTTGGGGAAAATCTAATCCTTCAGCTTGTAGTATATGCTGATTCTCACTCGTGGTGGTTTGATTCCTGGTGTAGCTTTTACCATGAGAAACGTGTGTGGCCTGGACTGAATGTCAGCCACACTAGAGTAGTTTTGCCTGGTTTTTGCTAAGCATCTCAGGAATTGGCTTGAGATCAAATTTTTATGTTAATTTCCCAGACTGTGGGTTTCAAGAGCACTAGGGTAGTATGAATTTGAACTCCGAACCTTTATGAGGTATGGAAGCACACTTCTGCATTCTCGGAAGGTTTTTCGCCAACTCAGACACTGAGGCAAGAGAGATCCAGTTCCTAATTTACCGCCTTGCACTGACTCTGGGTATTTCTCACCTCCTAGTGTTAACACCCTGTTGTTAAAACCAAAGCCCCTAAATTTAGGAAACCAATCGCCCCCTCTCCCATATCCCCCAGCCCCCAAAGATTAGCTCACATGCTTACTGCTCTGTTTTCAGTTACTCTTCACTTTAATCCCTGAACATTTCAGTTACATTCTTAATCACTAGCTGTGCATTTTATGACCTATTTTTTATTTCATATTCCTAGGAGTATATAGCAGATACATTTTCAGGTTATCTACTTTACCATATTGTTGGAAATGACTTGTCTCCAGGCTTACAATTCATCATATATATACATACACACACTTATAATAAACATTTCATGAAACAGTATCTTTACTATAAGCAATACAATGTGATATAAAATATCCCATTTCTTTTAAAAATGCTAATAAAAAACCCAGTAAATTGATTTTACAACCTACTAGTGCATTATGATCTACATGCAGTTTGGAAAACAAGTAGCTTTATGTTACTACCAGTATTAGGTTTCTAAAATACAGACCTAATTATGACTTTAATAAAAATTCTTTGGCTCCTATAATCTATGCAAAAAAGAAAACATTCCTTAAAAAAAAAGTCCTCTACACTTCACAGCCTGCCTCTCCCAACTTCTTCAAGCTCATCTTTCACCTACCTCTCTGAAACCCGACTGAGTAGCCAAACTTGATCAGTTTTGTCACAAACCACCACACATTTTCATGCCTCCTTACCTTTGCAGATGCCTTCTTACTACCTAGCACACTAGCCCACTTTATCTCCTCATCAGTCTAACTGCTTCTCGCCTTCAAGGATCAACTGAAAGGATCTACTTGGAGAAAATCTTTACCAATTTCCTTGCCCCTAGTCCTTCCTATTCTATGCTGAGGGTACTTAGACCTCTACTGTGGCATTCATCACAGCCTGACTTGCACCAAAGTTCCCTGCTTTTAGACTACACAACTATGTTTCATTCACCTTTGTTAACCCCTTTGGGTCAGACACATAGCACCAATTCAACAGATGTTTTGTGAAACGGAACCTTGTAGAGTCACTCAAAAAGTTTCTATGAGAATAATCATTTCACGGTGAAGAGAGAATTAAAGACTGCAGAAAAGAGTTAAGGCAGCAGGCCTGAACTGCTCTTTCCTTTGGAAGGCCTGGTTACAAGGCCACTCCTTGGCTGGCACCTGGGAACTTAGATTTCAGGAAGGTTCCCACTATGAACTGGTAAGGGCAGCTCACTGTGCCTAATTTGTTTGCACAAACAATATGGTCTATGGTGAACACCAACTTTCCTTCGGGGAAGCTGGAATTTGGCTATGTACCAGGCAGGGGGTGCCTATATTACCAGCTCTGCATAAAAATCCTGGATGCTGAGTCTCTAAGGAGCTTCCTGGGATGGCAATATCTCACATGTTGTCAAACTCATTCCTGGGGGAATTAAGTGTGCAGGGTGTGATTCTACTGGAAAAGGACTAGAAGCTTGCAAATGGTTTTCATAGACTTCAACCCATGCACCTTTACCTTCTGCTGACTTTGCTTCAGATTCTTTCACTAGAATAAATCACAGTCATGAGGACGACTATATGCTAAACCCTCACTAACTGTATAAAACATAATATGTCATATGCAAGTATCGAGGTGTAAGTCAGCTTTGCTAAAGGGCAAGAGTTTTAGCCAGGAAATATAAAAGAGGAAATGTAAAAGTTGATGCAGGGCCATAAAACATGCTAAAAGCTTGATTTTTACTGAAATGTTTCTAAATAAAAGAGTGAATCAGCAACATTAAGAAAGATGATTTTCTAATAGCATAGTAATACAAACTGGAGGAAAAATAATATGAAGATACTTAGATTAAAAGAAAACTTTTAAAATAGCTAAGAATGAGGTGAATAGGAATTAAAGACAGAGATTATAGGAATGTCCCACTAAAGAGTATATAAAAACATAAACTTTTACCTTTTTGGCACTTTTTAAACTGCACATATTAGCAACTCTACACCAAATTGGAGATAACAAAAAAAAACCCTGAAATATCACATGATATTGTTGCATGCCAACCAAATATATCTTTTGAGCAGGACTGCCATCTGCATTTCATCATCAGTCTTCGTGCAATTACTCGAATATTCTAGTGCATTCACGCTCTCATTTCACATATACAGACAGTATCTGAAAGCTTAAAGTGCTGATTTTCTAGGGACGAGGCAATGACCACAGACAGAAAGCAAGCAGCTGAGAGAGAAGGGCAGATCCAGCCTCATCTGGATCTCAAGAATTGAGGCTATTGAACCACGTATTCAAGTGCAAAGGAAAGGAAGAAAGCTAATTTCCTAACCTGCTAGAAATATTTTGTTGAGATTTTTATCAAAAAGGGAGGAGCATGAATAGAGAAAATGTAGAGATGCTTAAAAATTACAAATTGAATACTGGCCGAAAAAATTCTACTGACCTAGATGCAGTCTTTAGAAAACGCTCAATGGGGTATGATGTTAAAAACATTCCCATATGGAGAGAAGCCTGGCATTCCATTTTCTCCTAAGTTTTTCAATAAAGTTGACACTGATACCATCACATTCAGCATTACAACCTTATGTTCAATCTCATTAAATTATCAATGATAAAACCTTCCCAACATTAAAATAAATTTGATCAGTATATTAAATATCATGCTAAATAAACTGAGGGAACCTGAATTTATGGTGAGAAATTACTTTTAAAATTGTTTACTATTATAAATAAAATTTAACCTATGTTTTGATATTTTAAATAACTGTGTGATATGAGGTTGTAGTAGAAGATCAGTAAAAGAGTGAGAGTGTTACTCTTTTTTTTTTTCTGAAGCCCAGAGAAATGGAGGAAAAAAATGAGAAGAAAACTCCATTTGCAATAAAACTAAGAAACAGCTATAATCCCAACGGTGAAGAAGAATTAGCTGACAGTGAAATTCAGATCAAGCCTAGTTCCTCAACAGGGTAAGAATGTCTCTGAAAAGGAAAGGCTTCTGGGGGCCTAATCAAATATTTATTACTTAAAACCAGGACTGGAAGTTCCCGTAGAAAAAAGGAGAATCCGGGAATGTCTTGTCAGTGTCCCATTCATAGCAGATAAAGTTGAAAGAGGAAGTGGACTGTCTGAATTGGCACAAGCAGAAAATCTGTGTTTTCTCTAATACACCTCAGTAAACCGCCGAGAGGCAGCTACGAGAGGAGAAGAGAAATAGCAACCAACTTGGTTGTTCCTCCCCTGAGTTAACTGAGCATCAACAAAACTTCAAACCCCAATCAAAAAAGCTGCAAGCTAGAAGCCTTCACAGAGAGCCTCCGTCTTTACCAGCTCTGCTCACCAGGACGAGAGACGTGCCACCAGGGAAGACCTGGTGAAAGCATTTCTGGAAAACACATCTGATGAGTTGTCTAGGCACACAGACCCCATTCTGTACCATTCTTGAGCAAACTGCAAACTCGGTGAATCTATATGAACGTAACTGTTTCCATTTAATGAGTGAAAAGCAGAAAGGATTCATTCAACATAGGATCTATGCACAGGTAGTAGAAAAAAAAAAAGAGGCATAATAAGCAAAAGGCAGATAAAAAATGTACCACAACAACAAAAACACAAGGAAGAAATTTCAAATACCTTTCTATATTTTCAAAGAAACTAAAAGGAAAAAACCTTAGGAAAGGGATATAAGAACAACCAACAACAGGCTAAAAAGACAAAGAAGAAAAGCGAGGTAGCAGAGCTCAGGAAATAAAGGACAGTAAATCCTCTGAAATCAAGAGTTAACACAAGGCGTGTGAGACTGCTCTTCTCTGAAAGCCCTGCTTGCAAGGTTGGTCCCTGGCCGGCATCTGGAAATTTGACTGCGAAACAGTTCCCAACAGTGATAGAAAACCTTCTCTAACGATAGACAGGATTATTGTTCCTGAACTGTTTGTACAAGAAATGTGATTTATTCTGAACATCTGCTTTCCCTTTGGGAGCCTGGAATTTGGGTACATGCTAAGCAGAGGATGCCTACACACCCAGTGCCCCATAAAAATCTTGGCCACTGAGTCTCTAACGAGCTTCCCTACTAGACAACTATTTTACACAGGTCACGCTGGTTGCTGGAGGAATTAAGCACGTCCTAGTAATTCCATGGGGAGAGGACTCTTGCAAGCTTGTGCCTGGCTTCCTCCAGACTTTGCCCCATGCACCTCTTCCTTCTGCAGATGTTGCGTTTGTACCCTTTCGTGTAATAAATCTTGCCTATGAGCATGACTATATGCTGAGTCCTGTGAGTCCTTCTAGCCAATCACTGAACCTAAAGGTTGTCCTGGGGTGCCCCAACACACGGAGCATCTGCACTGGAAATCCAACACACAGAGTCCTAGCGTCCTTATTATAATAGAAAATACAGACAAATGTAACAGAAAAACACTAAAGAACTACTGGAAGACTTGTAACTAAAAAGTTCCACTGTGTTTCATTAAAAACTAAGAGAGAATAGTAAAAATCAAGCTCTATCCTAGTCAAGTTTCTAAAGTTCAATGACTAGGAATCCCACAGATCTCTGAATGAAAACCAAGACACCGTTGCAGGGGGAAAATTTCTTATAGCCTCAGATTTCTTCATAGCTACACTTGATGTCATAAGATTACAAAAGCAATGTCTACAAAGTGCTAAGGGAAATGACATGTGACCTGAAACTACTATAATCAGCCAAGTTGTTGTTTAACATAAAGGCACCAGGCAATTCTCAAGCAAAAAAGTGAAGAGAGCACTTAAGAGACATACTTGGGAGACGGGAAGCAGCTGCTACAGACCTGACAACTGACTACACTCACCAACCAAGAGGTGAATCAAGATAAAGCCCTCAGAAGCCAACGATGCCAGTAGGACTCAAAGCAAGTGTTGCCTCCATTTGAATTGTGCTTATGGAATAAAAATGTTACAAAACTTTACAGCGTTAAAAAACTAACATAGTAAACAAAAATTGGCTGGTGGAGGTTTTCGGAGAAATTTAAGTGTAGGAACTTCCCAAGTTTTCATAGTGGAAAGTCAAAAGATAATAGTGATGATGAGTTTAAAAAACAAAAATGAATTGACTTTCTCCTTTTAGAAATGAAAGGTAGGTATGTGAAACTACAACCCTAAATGATGCGTGAATACTTTCCTGTAGTAACTCACCATTTGCGTTCAGTTCGCTAACATTCTGATGAGTAGACTAGATGACAACCAAGAATAGGATGAAAGGATTATCAAGGTCAGGTAAAGGGAGAAGCACAGAAAATAAAGTTAAATCATCTAAACATTTTAAAACAACTAACAGAGCCAGTACTGGCAAGAATTGAAGAATCAGACTCTGTCATATACTGTTAGAATATCAACTGGTAAGACTTTTTAGAGGGCAGTATGTCTCAAACTGAAATACACAGACCACTGAACCAATAATTCCATGTTGCACCAATTTATCCTGTAGACATGCCTACTCAAGTCCATAAAGAAATATCTTACGAATACTCACTATTGGTAATAATGAAAAACAGGAAAAAACTAAATGTCTATCAATAGAGGACTGAAAAAGCTGAGCGCAATGATAAAATATACTATCTATATGGCTATTAAAAAATGAGACAGCATCATATAAAATCAGGGAAAATTATGGACATCACGGAAAGATGTTCAAAATATACTCTGAAATGAATCAAGAAGCAGAATCTCAAAAGACCCGTGATTGTGATCAACTGTAGTAACGGACTGGTTTAAAACAAAATACAAAATAACAGAAATCAGAACAGTGGTTCCCTGGTGAGAATTTTCTGGGGTAATAGAAATGGTCTATATCTTGACTGGGGTGGATCTGGGCTACACAGTTATATAAATTTGGCAAAACTCAGCAAATGGTACTCTTAATTAAGATCTCTCCATTTCACTGTAAGTAAATTTCACCTTAAAAAATAAGTAGAATAAGGAGCTTACAAAATCTATTTTTTTATTACAAAAGTAATACCTGGTTACAGTAAAAAAAAAAATAAAACAGATATGTTACAAGTAAAAATCTCTTACCCCCTTTCTCCCAATCCAACCTCTTTAGAGTTAACCTCTGTTAATAGTTGGGTATGCTATACCCTCCAGAGTTTTTCAATATATGGTATATACGGATGTGTAGTCGTGTGTATTTTTTTAATTGCAAAAGAAATGTAATTATCTTATGCACAGCAACATGATTTTGATAATTAATTGTGAACATCCTCTCCATTGGTATATACAATTCTCCCACATTAAAGGCCATATAACATCTCATTACATGGATAAACCATAATGTATTGAACCATTGCTCTACTGTTAACCACTAAATTACTTTAAAGCTTTAACAAAAACAACATTTTTATATTTATTATAACTCTTAGAGGTATACAACAATTATACCATAATTAGGGATTTTAAAATCCTCCTTGGGAAGAGAACTCCCATTAAATATGAAAGCCTATTTTTTCAATTTTCAAACATATGCCTTCAAAATACATAAATGAGTAGAACAATGCCTGTTCAGCAGAACATACATAGTAATTTAACATAATTGTGAATTAATGAATAAAATTTTACAAATACATCAGTTATGAAAGCAGGAAATATGCTGCTTTGTAGTTTTGTTGTAGCTCAAAAACAAAGTTTTAATTTAGCACTGGAATATCATAAGATATACAAGTAAACAAATGAAAGGAAGTTTCTTAGAAAGTGGAAAAAATCAACTACTGTACTAAATGGACCTAAAATGCATTACTCTCAAGGTATGGGCCCCTTCTTAGTCTTCCTTTGTAACATTTTCCATGAGAGACTATGAAGTGGGCATTTATGAATTTGGTTAACTCCTACCTATCTATCTAAAGTTGCTAATAATGGAGAAACTTAGTATTATCACCAATAGTAAACAAGAACCTGCAACAAATTTCTATTTAGAAGAATATAATTTGAAAATGAAATAGTTACAAACCTAGGTCCAATAACAGGAATAAGTAAGACATCCTGAAGGTCTGGATGCTGAAGAACAGGAACACTTAATCCATTAAACTGCTGTTAAAAATAAACACACACAATTATAAAGCAATCAACATATTTGACAAATTTCACTTTATGGAGCTTTTCAGTATCATTACCTAGCAGAGCATGAAGCTTGGTTTGAGATATTTTCACTTTATTCCATGGGATACTATAAAAATCAACGACTTCAAAACAACTATGTTTTGTCTATAATTTGGTTCTGAAGTATCCTGACTTCTTTATAAGGCTCAATTTTGCTTACTGTTTGGCTTTATAAATACACACCATGTTTATCTCAAGTGGCTTACTTTGAAAACATATATTCCATACAGAACTGCATGTCGTACTCTTTTAAGAAAAGCTTCTGAATAAGACATTAAATATTGAGATTATTAAATACTATTCATTGTACACTATCAACAATGATGCCATGTCAGTTCTGATGAGGGAAATGGATGCGTTTCTGGCAAAGATTCAGAATTTTCAGTATCCTCTATCATCCTTGGCCTTCAGAGTGGAAACAGATGCAGGGCCAGGGGTACAGTGCTGGGGCCAGTTCACACAGTCTCCTGAAAGCCAATGTTTGCATCTTTTCCCAACTGCAAGTCACGCTGGCAGCTTAAAATCGACCACAGTGGGAGTATTCACACCATAGAAATCAGCAACCACCACAAACCAGGGTTATTCTTCCCAGAAAGTGAGTTGTTCAATATGTACCAGCACACCACCGTTGCAGGCAGAAGATGACTGGGCACTCCACACAGCAGAATAAAGAGCAGAAGAGTGAACTGGAGAGAAAGGCCTGTGTACTCTATTAGAGGGAAACACGCAAATATTTGCGAACAAGTCTCTGCCATGAAGGCTAGGAATTATCAACTCATTAATTTTCACATACTACATGAAAGAGCAGTAACAATAATAGATATTTGCAATGCCCTGAGTAGCCATACACTACTTAGAAGTAAGCTGATTTGAGAAATTTTTTCTAAGTTCATAAGAGAAAAAAATTGTTCAAATTTTAGAAACCTAACTACATTTCTACCATCTCAACAGTTCTCCTGACTTCTGCTTCTTCCAGGCAAAGGATATTTCAGACTAACCATATCCAACAGAGAACTACTAAGAATCTGAAGGGAAAACTCCTTCTCATTCCATCGAACAGCTCTCCTTTCCCTTTCCCTCTCCCTCGTGCTCTCTCATTGTCTGACGCCTTATAATATCTAGACTATGGTAAACTGATCTTTCCAAGGAGAAGACAGACAAGGAATTTTGTCATTTGTTTTGCTTTTTGAAGTACTATGTGCTTTATACTATAGAAATATTTTACATAGAGATCAATCCTTCCTAAGCCAAAGGTTTCCTTCTCTCCTTTTCTATTAGGAGATGTTAAGATGACACAGAAATAAAACTTTCATAGAACCACACATGCATAACTTTCATAATAACACAAATATATCTTTTTTTAAACTAAGCACATCATCTGCTTCTTGTTTGTTTCTGCCCCAAGAACTTTTTAAAATAGCCTTATTGAGTTATAATTTACACACCACCAAATGCACCCATTTTAAATGTAAAATGATTTTCAGTGAACTTAAAGAACTGTGCAACCATCACCGCAATCCAGTTTTGGATTATTTCCATCACTGCATTCTTCATGCCCATTTGCAGTCAATCCCTGTCCCCAGCTCCACCCCCAGGCAACCGCTAATCTACTTTCTCTATAAACTTGCCTTTTCTAGACATTTCAAATAAATAGAATCATACCACATATGGTGTCTTGTGTCTGCCTTCTTCACTTAAAATATTTTGAGGTTCGTCCATGTCAGAGCATGGATCAGTAGTTCATTCCTCTCATTGAACAGGATACCACTGTGTGAATAGACCACACTGTGTTCACCTGTTCACCAGGTGAAAGACATCTGGACAGTCCCTCCCTTCTGGCTCTTAAGAACAATGTTGCTATGTATTTTCATGTTCAAGCACTGGTATGGACATATGTTATCATTTCTCTTGGGCAGGTATCTTTCTCTGTTTTTTTTTTCTCCCCAAAGTCCCAAGTGCATAGCTGCGTATCCTAGTTGTAAGTCATTCTAGTTCCTCTATGTGGGATGCCGCCACAGCATGGCTTGATAAGCAGTGTGCAGGTCCACACCAAGGATCTGAACTGGTGAACCCCAGGTTGCCAAAGTGGAGCACGTGAACTTAACCACTCAGCCAGGGGGCCAGCCCCTAACTTCTTACAGGACTACTCAATTGTTTTCCAAAGATGTCAAACCATTTGACGTTCCCACCTGCAGTGTATGAAGGTTCCAGTTTCTCCACATCCTCACCAGTCAAATGAAATTGTAAATTATTAAATTTCAATATGTGGCCCAGAGAAATTTGGGGGCAAAGCACTGACTCATATCATACCATTTGGGACATGTCTTTAGGACATATGTGAGCTCTGGGACAGAAAGAGAAAGAATGTTTATAGTCTGAGGCCTCCTTCCAGTCCCCTTTCCTGCTAGGAATAGGTACTGCTCTGCACCAGTTTCCCATCTAGGGCCTATGACCCAATCATCCCTATCTAATCCTAACCCTGTCTCATCTGGACTCAAAGCCCAGAGTGATTCTGTCTGCCTCATCTTAGATACCAGGCCGGCCCTGAGATCTCGTATACCTATCCTACTACAATTCTAGAATATCTAGGCTCTGGGAATCATTCGCTAGAAAAGAGAACAATCTGGATCTGCCTGAGTGATGGACAGCTCTGGTGAGCCACAGAACAGTTTCTTTCCCAATAGCTGAAAGCATATGCATGACTATACAAAAGCAATAATTTTAGTTGCTTGGAGGAACTACTTATATTTTATGCCTAATGTCATTACTAGGAATAAAATTATCAATATCAATAATTAACAATCAGATTAACTTTTCTCCAAGTCTTATTTAATTATTATACTGAGTTTTGGTCTCATACAGTCAGATACCACAGCTGGTTCTTCTTGTAACACAGTCATCTACTCACAACTTGAAATTTATAGAATTTTTCTTAAAGATATGACAAACATTCCATAAATGTAATGAGATTAAAGAAAAAAATCAATTAATCAATACCAGCGATAATTTTCTGAAAATCTCTGAATGTTATATTTGGAGTATACTGATAACACAGTCTATGCTATACAAATAGAAGTCCTTTAATCATGCTTGCCTCTTGCTTTTAATTTAGATAGTAATTAGGTAGAAACAGGTCTGCCGGCACCTGCCAGTTACTTGTTGTATGAGATTTACTAACTACAAAATGCAGTTTGAAGGACCCCCTCAGGCATCTGTTTTCCTCCATCTCACATTTCTTTGGAGGCAAATTTCAGTGCACAGTGTATGACACACAGAATGCATAGCATTTGAAAGTAAAGAATTAAGACAATACAAACAAGAAACTTCAATTATGATTTTTCTGCTTGGAATTTATAAAATGCCATTTTCTAATACTGTTTTCACTCACAGAAAATGAGTATTATGCCAAAACTATTTTATTGGTCAAACAAAAAATAATTTATCTAAAAAATATATTCTTGAGCGAGCCCTGATTGTCTAGTGGTTAAAGTTGGGCACCCAGGTTTGGTTCCTAGGAGTGGAACTACACCACTCGTCTGTCAGTAGCCATGCTGTGGTGGCAGCTCCCATAGAAGAACCAGAAGAAGTCACAACTATACACACCTATGTAGGGGCTCTGGGGGCAGGGAAAAGAGGAGGAAGATTGACAACAAATGTTAGCTTAGGGCAAATCTTCCCCTGCAAGAAAAATATATATATATATTTTTTTTTTATATTGTTTTAATTTCCTGCTTTTATTAGCGATAAGGTACTTCTCCATTTTTTTTTTTTTTTTTGGTGAGAAAGATTAACACTGAGCTAACATCTGTTGCCAATCTTTCTCTTTTTTGCTTGAGGAAGATTGGCCCAGAGCTAACATCTGTGCCCATCTTCCTCTATTTTGTATGTGGGATGCTGCCACAGCATGGCTTGATGAGTGGGTATAGGTCTACGCCCGGGATCCAAACCCATGAGCCCTGGACCGCCCAAGCAGAGCACATGAACTTAACCACTACACCACTGGGCTGGGCTCCTCTATCTGCTTTTTTATGTCAATTAAAAATATAATCCTATAGGTAATCAGTAAATACCTCCCTATACTGTATAGCTCGCTTCAGCTATACAATCAGCCCTCTTGGTTGTTATATGTCGCTAGTTACAAAATCACAGACTTTTAGGGTTAGAATAGACCTCTTCACATGTATTTTAATGATGAAACAACTGAGGCCCAGAAGGGTTGAGTGACCTATCCAGTCACTACAAATAATAAATTCAGAATCAGAAATGCTAGGTTCAAGTTCTAGCATTACCACTCACTATGTAACCTTGAACTTTAACATTCACGATCCTCAGTTTCCTTATGTGTAGAATTGGAATAGCATTATCTCATTCATAGGATTTTAGTGAGAAGCAACATGACATAGATTGTAGAAATGTATTTATGTACATAATGACGTAAAAAATTTGCACAAACCTTCTGAAGTTCATCAAGTAACAGATTTTTCACATGTTGTACCGAGGCTAGATGTGTATTTACTCTGACAGTTGTGAATGATGGAGGGTGTGACAAGTGATTTAAAAGAGTTTCAAACTTCCTTTCTGCTGCTTCTTTACCTAAAGCAGATACAATCTGAAAAGCAGAAAAGAACAAGTTAAGGCTTCAGTTTCACTATATGAATTAAAATATTAAGCAGAATATGCACAGACATTTGTTTCAGCCAATGAAACACCTTTCAGCAATTGTTCAGTTCTGTTTCATTTTGCTGTATTATGTGTTAATAACACTAGGGAATTGTAACACTTCACAGGGTTCTAGGGTTTAATTGTGGCAATAAACATCTAACAAAACACCTCACATAAAGGGCTTAGAAAAACACTGCCTCAACTTCAAAGCACTAACATTTTGAACATATCAATATCTGCTATGTTTATTCAAATAAATTCAGGATTTCATTCTATTCATTTATCATGTGTTAACTGTTATGTCATTACTGTAGAACTATTTATTTACTTGCTAACCTCCTATCCTAGAGCAAATTTTAGTAGCCTTTCAAATACCGATATTTGAATAAGTAACATTGATACCGTCAATCCAAAGATCCCTTTTTTACATTAGCTTTTTAATAACGTATTATTAAATGTAAAAAATAGATATTGTCCAAAAGAAGGTGGGTAGCAGACACCTGTCAGAAATGAAGTTAGACTCAACCAACCAAGTTCCCCTGCAATTAACTGAAGCTTTTTGAGACATTTGTTTCCTCATTTTTTTGTTATCTTTGACTAAACCCCACAGAATCTTCACAAATCACTAGCCAGCCTAACAGTCCACCAGCATTAAAATATTAGTACTTCCTCGTGGTTTAGTTTGGTTTCTTTAACTGAATATTCCTTTAGCTTTGATACTTTTTACAAATACATGGCTTTTCTTTGGGTAAAATCATATCATTAGTGGGTCTGAGGTAGAGGGGGTGTCAAAGAAAGATACTTGGGTCTTCTTTCATAAAACAATGTTCACCATTTTAAAAAGTGCTGAACGCCTCTATTTCTCTTAATATGCTCCTTACATTTTAAGTTCTTTGAAATCAAGAGAAGATAGTTCGTCTTTCCACACTGTCTAGTCCCTTAACATAACCTTTGGAAATAAAATGCAGAAATCAAATCAAAAAGTCATGGCTTCAGTAACATCTTCAAAAACAAGTAACACGTAAGTGGCTTTACTTTGAACAGAAAACCAAACATTTGGAAAATACACAGGTGCCAGGAGGTAGGACGGTGAAGTGGAACGAGCCCAGGCGTGGCGATCAGAGATGATCAGAGACAATCAACATCCATTGAGGACTTCCAGGCTGGGCGCTGCCAGGAGCACACGGAATGGACACTTGCTAAGGACTTACTATGCGCCAGAACGATGCCAGATGCTTTCACTTAAGATTAATACCCTAAAACAACCTTGTAAGGTAAGTCTTTTTAACCACCCTCAATTTTACAGAAAAGGAAATCAAGGCTTAAGGGATGCGAAGTAATTTACTCAAAGCACTGGGAGGCAAATCAAGGGCTTGCAATTCCAAACCCGTACCTTTTTCATTGTACCTGAGCTCTTTAGCGTCAGATTTCAGTACTGTTAACTTCAGAGCGGTGTCAATTTGGATCAGTTACATGACTCTTTGGACCCTCAGTTCTCTCACCTATTAAAATGGGGAAGAAATCTCTACCAAAAAGGATTGCGCAGATTAAGACGTAAACGTGTGCAAATCACCCTGCACTACTGGTGGCATTTAAGAGACACTCAACAAATTAGAGCTTCCCTCCCACCTCAAGCGCTCCCAGAGCACAGGTGTCTCTTCTCTAAAGGACTTAAATTTTCCAGGACAGCGGTCTTTTCTTGCTCATCCTTGTAAGCCCATCAGAGCCAGGCCTACTACCAGGCTCATGACCACTTTTTCCTCCTTTTTTCCCATTCCTAAGTGTTAACACACAGACCTCATTCCCCTCTTATCTCGGAAAGCATTCATTAAATACCCGCGGAAAGATCCTAGCATCTTTTACTTTCGGCAAGACGAGTAAGAACCAACAGCCGCAAAGATCAGGTTTCCTCTTACACTTTTTTCTGCTTCTCTAGTGTGCAACCTACCTCCTTATTCATGAAACCCGCTTTAAGATAGTTTTCAACCTCAAGTCTCAAAGATATTTTAGGGAAAACAGACATTTTGCCTATTGCTTAGTTCTCCTCCAAGGGAAACGCTGGAAAACGGTGGGTTGTCTCCTTCCGAATTACAGGGGGCGTCTTGGCGATGCAGTAACCGCCCACCACGGGTGCGGAACCTCGGGTGCCCAGGAAACTCGCGCCCTCAGCCGAACTCATCGGAACCGCGGCGGCTCATCCAGGCTCCGTCGGCGCAGCCCCCTCGGAGCGGCGTGCTCCCTGCACCCTAGTCCCCGGTCCTTCTGGAGGGACGCTCCCGCAAGTCACTGGAAGGAAGGCCACTCACGCTGCAGAGAACAAACCAAACCAAAGGCGTGCCGAGCGAGTCCGCTGTGACCGGGACGTAGACCTGAAGACCAAGCTGGCACCGACTCGGTCGCACGCCACCTCAAGGCCCAATTTCCAAACCCGCGCCCCCGATTTCTCCGCGGAAAGCCGCTTCCGGCTTGCGTCACTTCCGGCGACGCCACCCACCCGCTCCGTCCCGATTCCCAGTCAGCAGCCGCAAACTGTCGCCACGTCGCGGCTTCCGCGGAGTTTCCCAGTCGCTCGCGGGGCGCGTCCGCGGGCGAGGGCCCCCGGGGGCTTTAAGGAGGGCAGGGCGGCTGCCCGGTGAGCGGAGAGACCAAGCTCCCGGGCGCGGGGCGGGGGGGTGTTGAGCGGAACTTTCCCGGCTTAAATAAGGTTGAGGGGTCCGATTCGTTACCTGCCACGTGACCTTGGGTGGAGCCTGAGTTTATTTGAACCGATCAGTCACCCTTTGCTTTCATGAAATTACTTACCCCCACTTAGGCATACAGATCTGACTTCAGTTGTGAATGAACTTACTCAAATTTTCGAAAGCTGGGTTGATGGTGTGTTACTATATCCAAGAATGCTCAGGTTCAACGTAAAAACCCACGGATAGTATTTCCAGTTAGTTGAATAAGGCTAAAAGTTTACCTGTATCATAGTTGATTTATACTTTAAAGCTCAGGAGACCCTTGGCGTCATCTTTGTGCGTCACACGTGAGGAAAAAGATTCAAAGGGAGAAGGTACCTAAGGAAAGTCACTGAGCCATCTTATGATTGACTAGGAAACTAAAAATAATTCTCCTGTCTCCTTGACTTAGTGTTTTTTGCAGCACACCGTAGTTATTAACACGTAACTGTAGGAAAGGGTTTTTTTCTTAAGTCTTTTTCTCTCTAATTCTCACACAGATATGTTTTAGAAAGTCTAACAGCCACTTTCTATGATACACCTACCAGGTTCTGTACGTGATATTTTAACTTATACCGTAATGCCACACAACAGCCCTGCAAGGTGTTTACCATTATCTTTTTTAGATGAGTAAAACAAGGCTCCCAGAGCTGAAATAACTCTCCATGGCCTCACAATTAGTGACAAACTCAGGATAAAGACCAGACCACCTGGCTTCTAAAGCCAATACCTATTCTTTCCATCATGGCACATTTCTTCAGTGAGTTCACGGGCTTCTTCTGTGGCTAAATCATCTGAAAGCGATTAGGAAGAAATGTCTAGACCCGGCATTTCCAAAGGAAACTTTGCAGCCTCCACATTGTGGTGACCGTTGCACCAATAATGGTTGGATTGTGTATTTAGGAGATAAGAGAGAGGAAGGAACAAAGCTGAACTGGACTGTAAACTCAGCGGGTACCGACTTTTATCTCGCCACTGCACACCCAGTGCCTAACACATAATAGGCACCACAATGCTCAATGACTAGATGAGTAGATAGGTGGAGATCTGTGTGAACTAGGGAGAGAATGCTGATAAAGCAAGTATTTGCTGGAACTTCGTTCACTAGTTCAGCACATGGGAACAGTGCTGAGGACACGGATCATGCACATATGATACAAAAATATTTTCCTTTAAGATTTTCATATGTCATATGTTTAATGGGAAATAATTTAAATGTTATGGAAGCTGCCTAGTAAATAAATTTATGCTGTTTATTTTTCAGGTCATATAACTTTTCTTCAAAAGCTGGACGTATTCTTGTGACATTTTCAAAACTAGATCTTGATTTAGACATGACACATCAGTAGATCCTGGAGGAAAGTCTCTGCAGGATCCAGATTCAAATTCAGCAGCAGCTGAAAAGAAAAAGAAAGAATTACAGTCTTTAACATACTTCCTAGTTAACTAAGTCTGAGTTAGTAAAAAAAAGTTGAGACCTTTATAAGTGTTGAGAAGAATGAAAAATATTTACATATGACTACAACACAAAATACAAGATTACTGTTAAATATAATTTGCTCATAGGTGCACGCTGAATTAATTCCTATTGTGGCTAAGTATCAGAGCTTCCAGTTTTCTCATTCTTCACTTCTTTATTCAACAAACATGTGCTAAGATACTGTAACCCAAGCAGTGGAATTTCAAAATGAAGGTGACATAGTCCATCTCTCAACAATCATATACTATAAACTGAAAACACAGATGGACAGGCAGTTGCCACACAGATGGGATATATGAGTATCCCATGACAACACGGCACTATTGGAATGCACAGAAGAGACATCCCAGTTCTGTGTCAGTGTTGTTGGCTTTTTGGTGAGGTGATGTGTAAGTTGATACCTGAATGGCAAGGAAAAAGTGTGTCAGATAGTGGGAGGAAGCACATGCAGAGACTGGAGGGGGGGAAGAACACTGGAAGTATAAGTCGTCTAGTTTGATGAGATGCTAGAGCAAAGGGGCAGAGGAGGGTAAGCAGCAAGAGATAAAGCTGAATAATTTGGCAAGAACCAAAGTGGTTTGGGTGTTTTTATTCCAGGCTGAGAAATTTGGAATTTTTCCTGAGGGCAAAAGGTAAACCAATGACACAGTCAATGACTGAAGCTTAAATGTCACCCGTCAAGTGACAGTTATATGAACTGTCATTGTGTGACTTAAGTATTACTAGATGAGTCTGGTTTTTCGGCCTTATATCACTACCAGAAATGTGAGAAGTTGATGAAGCCCATGTTTTCTGAGAATAGTTTCAGTGTGCAGGTTGACAGTTCCATAGGGACGGCAGAAGTGAAGGAAGGGGATAGCCAGAAAGAAAAAGGATACATCGACTTTTGAGATTTTTAAAAAGCTATGGAACAAGATGAATAAATGAAGAATAAGTATATTCTTTATTATGAGTTTTTATGCTTTCACATTTTTCACTAGCGATGTATAAGAAAAAATATTTAACATAGTATCAATTATCCAAACAATGGAAAGGGATACCATTTACTATTTACAATTGATTTCATAAATCATTGATATCTAAATTTAGTTCATGAATTTTGACAACATACCGTTTTCTAGTTCTTCAGTTATACTTTTTTCCAACTCCTACTGCATCTGAAATAAATTGAAGATTATTTATAATGTTTAAGTTAAGCAAGAGACATTACCATAGGACTGATATATAGCTTCTGAAATGTGGCCTTTAAATAATACTTTAAGAGACTAGACCTAATTTGGGAATTGCTTAAATAGAAAAATAATCACATAAATAAAATAAATTCCAACCTACTGTAATTTTAGACAATAGAGAACATATATATGTAATGCTGTTTAGATTAATCTGATAAAAAGTACAATTAGTATTGGTCCACTGCATATACATAACTTCACAAGGGTGATGGTCGATCATAACATAACAGAACTTGATCTAAATTGGGCCCAGGGAAGACTTCCCTGAGGAAGAGATGGTTCCACTGAGAAATGAAGGAAGAGGGGCTGGCCCCGTGGCCGAGCGGTTAAGTTCGCGCGCTCCACTGCAGGCGGCCCAGTGTTTCGTTGGTTCGAATCCTGGGCGCGGACATGACACTGCTCATCAAACCACGCTGAGGCAGCATCCCACATGCCACAACTAGAAGGACCCACATCGAAGAATATACAACTATGTACCGGGGGGCTTTGGGGAGAAAAAGGAAAAAATAAAATCTTTTTAAAAAAAAAAAAAAAAAAGAAATGAAGGAAGAACAGGAAGCTATTCAGCAAAGGAGGAAGAAGAGGATTGTACACAGTCTACAGTATGTTCTGAAGGTATATTACAGTCTGCTTCTAGCCAAGACGGAGTAACAGGTACTGATTTACCTTCCTACCTGATGAAGCAAAAACAAAACAGGCAAAATATACTTAAAAGTGATTTTCAAGGCAAAGGACTTCAGGCAATGAAGGACAATAATCCCCCAAAACAAATGAAGTTAGCCTAACGAATGCCCAGCTCACTGCCTTGAGAGAATGTCCAGGCCACAACACAGGGAGACGGAACTGAGGTAGAGCCCACCAGACTCCCTGAGTGGAGGTGATGAAGCTCAGAGTCTCGGGAAACCAAGGCAGGTGGAGATCACAGGTCAGGACACTGGAGAGTAGAGAGTGAACAGAAGAAGAACGCTGGAGATCTGCTGAGGGGCCCCCTGGGTGTTCACCCAGGTCAGGACACTGGAGAGTAGAGAGCGGAACAGAGGAAGAACCCTGGAGATCTGCAGAGGGCCCCCTGGGTGTTCAGCAGAGTAGTGCACAGTGCATACAGGTGAGGAAGCCCCCTGGGACCAGGGGGAAATCCATCTGAAAAGAGTAAAGGAAACAGTGCCTGGTGCTGACACAGCCCCAGGAATGATGTCTATTCCCGTTAGCCAGGCTGGAAAAAACTCATAATTCACAGGACAGTGACTAGAATAGTCAGACAGGTCATGCTTCAGTAGTGGGGAATAATTAGCCCTAGGCAGAGCACTGCTCTGGATGCACCTAAAAAATCATAAGAGCAAGACCAGGAAGGATCAAATTGTTATAAATAACTTAACCGTATCTCCAAACAAAGCTCAGAGAGATATATAGAGGCATGGAAGCTATTTTTAAAAAACCAAATAGCAGTTATAGACATGCATATTATAATGAAAAATACACTGGAGTGGAATAAACACATATTAGTTATCACAAAATAAAAAGTTAGTAAGGTTGACATCAGTGAACTATGAGAAAACTTCAAAAGGCTAATATACAATTCCCCAAAGAGGAGATGGAAAGGGACAGAAAAAAATATTTGAAGAAAAAATGGCCAGAAACTTTCTAAACTTAATGAAAACTATAATCCCACAGATCCAGGAAGGATCTGGCTAGGAGAGAAGACATGGAAGTAAACTATTGTAATTTTCTTATACTGTATATGATGTGGTGTAATATTAATTGAAGCTGGACTGTCAAGTCATATTCTATAAACCCTAAAGCAACCACTAAAATAGCAAAACAGAAGAGTTATAGCTAATAAGCCAAAAAAGAAAGAAAACAAAATCATAAAAATACTTGATTACTCTAAAAGAAGTCAGAAAAAGAAGAAAAAGGGGACAAAGAGCAGATGGGACAAATAGAAATCAAATAGCACAATGACAGCTTGACAGATTCAAATCTACTATATCAATAATCACACTAAATGAAAATGGTCTAAAAAATCTCAATTTAAAGCCAAACTATCAGGACCCAGCCATGTGGCCAAGTAGTTAAGTCCGCACAATCCACTTCAGCAGCCTAGGGTTCGCCAGTTTGGCTCCCAGGTGTGGACCTATGCACCGCTCATCAAGCCATGCTGTGGTGGCATCCCACATAGAAGAACTAGAATGACTTACAACTAGGATATACAACTATATACTGGGGCTTTGGGGAGAAAAAGAAAAAAGACTATCAGATGAAAAATGAAGACCCAACTATAGGCCACCTACAGTAAACACACTTTAAATATAAAGACACACATTTGTTAAAAGGATGGAAATCAGATACAGCACTCTAACATTTGACAAAAGGTGGTTGAGCTGGAGGGACTACATTAATACCAAAGTAGATTTCAGAGCAAAAAATATTACCAGCTACAAACAAGGTCATTTCATAATGATAAAAGGGTCAATTAATAAGCAGCATAACAACCCTAAATGTTTATGCACCTAATAACAGCTTCAAAATATATGAAGCAAAAACTGATAGAACTGCAAAGAAAAATAGACAAATTCACAATTATAGTCTGAAATTTCAATACTGTTCACTCAATAAGCGATAGAGCAAGTAGGGAGGAAATCATGAAGGATATAGTAGACTTGAACACCACCATCTTCTCAAGTATCCATGGAACACTTAGCAAAAAAGACTACATTCTGTGTCATAAATCTTAATAAAAGGAGTAAAAGATTTAAGTCATGCAAAGTATGTTTCCTGAGCACAAAGCAATCAAATTGGAAATCAAGAACAAATATATCTCTGGAAAATATTCAAATATTTGGAAACTAAATAACACACCTCTAAATAACCCCTTGGTGAAAGAGGTAATGAAAAGAGAAATTAGAAAGTATTTTGAACTGAATGAACATGAAAATACAACATATTACAATTTGTGGAATGCTGCTACAGTAGTGCTGATGTGGAACTTACAGCACTGAATGTCTGCATTATAAAAGAGGAAAGGTCTCATATCAATGACCATGGCTTTCACCTTAAGAAACTAGAGAAAGAAGAGCAAATTAAACCCAAAGCAAGAAGAAAAAGGAAATAACATCAAACACAAATCAATGTGACAGAAAACAGAAAAACAATAGAGAAAAATCAATGAAACAAAATGCTTTCAGGAGATCAATAAAAGTGATAAACCTCTAGCCAGGTTGATAAGAAAAAAAGAGAGAAGGCAAAAATTATTAATATCAGAATTGAGTAATGTGACATTACTACAGATGCTACAGATATTAAAGAATAACAGAGTAATATTACAAACTTTATGTAAATAAATTTGACAACTCTGAAGAAGTGGTTAAATTCCTTGAAAGAATTTACCAAAGCTCAATCAAGAAAGAGCAGAGAAGATAAATAGCCCTATGTCTACAAAAGAAACTGAAGCCCTAGTTAAAGACCTCCCCACAAAGAAAATTCCAGGCCCAAATGGCTACACTGGTGAATTCTACCAAACATTTAGGAAGAAATAATACCAATTTTACAAACTCTCCCCTAAAAGTGAAGAGAATATGTCCCAACTCATTCTATAAGGCTAGTATTACCCTGAAACCAAAACCGGACAAAGATATTACAGGAAAGAAAACTATATCATGAGAATGAAGGTAAAAATTCTAAACAAAACATTAACAAATCAAATTCACCTATACATTAAAAGGATAATTCATCATGACCAAATGGGGGTTTATCCCAGGAATGCAGGGTTGGTTTAACATTCAAAAATCAATGAATGTCATTCACCATATTAACAAACTGAAAAAGAAAAACCATGTGATCATAGCAGCAGATAAAAAAAAGGCAGTGGACAAAATTCAACATCTATTCTTGATAAAAACTTTCAGCACACTAGGAACACAAGGGAACGTCTTCAATATGATAAAGAAGATCTATGACAACTCTACAGGTAACATCCTATGTAATGCATGCTTTCCCCAGAAGATCAGGAACAAGACAGGAATGACTTCTTTTACTCCTTCTATTCAGCACTATATTAGACGTTCTAACGAGTGTAAGCAGGCAAGATAAGAAACAGATGGGAAAGGAAGAAGTAAAATTGTCTAGACTAGCAGAGAAGATGATGACACAATAGGAGTCAGCAAACTCCAACTTGTGGGCCAGGTTTTGGTAAATAAAGTTTTACTGAAATACAGCCATGTCCATTAATTTATGTATTGTCTATGGCTACTCTCATAGGACACTGGGAGAGCGGATTATGTGTGCCAAAGAATGTACTGACTACAAGTCTTAAATATTTACTATCTTTAATAAGATAGTAGTTTAAGAAAGAAAAAGTTTGACAATCTTTGGTTGTAAAGAAAATCTGATGGAATCTACAAAAATGATACTAGAACTAATAAACAAGTTTAGCAATATTCAAAGATACAGAATCAATATACAAAAATCAACTGTATTTCTATATATTAGCAGCGAATAATTAGAAATTAAAATTTAAAATATATTATTTACAACTACATTGAAAAATAAGAAACAGGTAATTTCATAAAAGATGGAAAGACCTATATAGTAAAAACTACAAAATATTATTGAGAAAATTTAAAGGAAAACTATATAAATGGAGAGATCTACTCTGTTCAGGGGTTGAAAATTCAGTATTGTTACGAAGTCAATTCTCCCCAAATTAATCCACAGATTCAACACAATCCAAATCTAATTTCCACAACAGTATATGCTTTTCTTTTTTTAAAAGAAATTGATTAGCTTATTCTAAAATTCATGTGGAAATACAAAGGATCTAGAATCTAAAAATAAGCCTAAAGAAGAAAATTGAAAATTGGAAGACTAACACTACTAAATTAATAAACTGACTATGTTGAAGGTCAAGTTAAACAGGACTGACACACAAAAGAGAATGGTAACTAGAGGTTAGATGGAGTTTTGAACATAAATGATCAGATAGTTCCTTGTAAAACACGGCTCAAATAACAGGTTCAATAACCAGAAGGCAGAACAAAGGTTCACATAGACTTATGTGTGCCTCTAGAGAAACAAACACACACAAGTCAATCAGGCAAGGAACAAACAATCCTGTAGCAGTCTATTATGAGAGCTACACACCCATCTTAACTGCTGAGATACAGAATGTTAGTCTTAGGCAAAGACAAATTATTAGATCAAATGAAAAGATGAATAACTTCTATAATAAAATCAACAAAATTTTAATACTATAGTAAATTTTATTTTAAAAATGCTCTCTACCC